ACGTTCTGTCTCTGTCTGGTTCCTGGTCCCTAACAGGAAACCACTTGAAACATTGGTTGTGTTGAGCTATTTCAATTGCTTTTGTTTTATTTCGATAATAAACCTTATTTTCGATACTTTTGATTACAACTGTAAATACAAATAAAAACAAACCTTTTCTGGTCTCATGTGTCTGACCTCCACCTGTAAATATACTTTGCAGCCATTTATATAACCATCCCCACATGCACTTATATACGATACATTTCAAGCAAAGCCATAGAACAATGTGCTAGAAAACCAAAGACTACAAGGAATCACAGTCTGTTCTTTGGGACACAAGGAAATTATCCTGTGTGGTTAGTGGGGCACAGAATGTTTGTATATTGATGAGTTTGGATAGACCACCCATAAATGCAATGGACCTTGGACACATATGGACACCACCAGTTGTTAATCAGGGCACAGATCAGATACAGTTTTGTATATATATATATATATATATATATATATATATATATATATAATGACAAGGCTACCTTTAGCACTTTACGTTTTATGAACCGTACTTTCTATACTGTTCAGCCAGGTCAGCTATCTGTGTCTCCATGGCCCCACACTGTGAACCAAGAACCCAGCATTTTAGGACAGCAGCAGATAAAACAGTGCTACGATATTTGCTGGCGCTATATAAATAATAAAATAATAAGAAAATTAAAGCACCTGGCATCTTCTACGTATTGCAAAGTATAGGGCTAGAGTGTCAGCTCCAATGCCCCCTGCGGTAATCCGGCCTTCCATGTATACATGCTTGTTTTCTTTATATTTATTTTGGGACAAGAACTGCATTACCATCCATTTAGTAATTCTGTCCTAATCCTTGTTTAATAATTGATACTAAAATGCTGGTCAAACATGCTAAATGAAAATGTGCTTCCAGTAAGGGATAGCTAAGTGGATTAGGCAAGCAATGGATAGCATTACTAGACAGAATCTCTCTTCACATTAGTGCAAGCACAACGTTTAAGTGTAGACATACATGAAGTGACATTAAAAGACCAACATAGTTAATGTTTTCTGATCTGACATATTCTCTGTGAGGAGGAAGGAGATGTGGTGAATATCTGAGAGTTATGGTTATTGTGGCTGACCTTAGGATGTACGAGTCAAATGAACTGATTACGTTCACAAGGCAAATGTTAATGGGAAATGTGAGTAGAGTCCAGAGGTTCCTCACCACTTCATTAGGATTACTTTCCCACTAAAGGCAGACCTGAGTTTGAGGCAGCATGGAATACTCCAATAGTCTCACCTATTGGTAGGAATAAGAGGAATTTAACAACACTTACTGACACATATAACTCAGTAGGTATGACAACCTTTTTCCAGGGTGAATGATACCTGCAAGCATGGCCAGGTGATTGGTTTGAGATTGAACTTATTTGCAACAAGAGCCCCATTACGCATAAGGTGGCATAGGTAACCACAGTGGCGGGACTAAAGTAGACAGGTCCCTGGTGCAAGAATTGTTTTGCCCCCCACCCATTACTAGGATTGCCAAAATGTAGATCACCATCTGTCGTACAACTCCCACAATCCTTTGCCAGCTGGGGTTCTACCATTTTCCCATGCTTGCAGGGTTATATTTAGCAATGAGCAGTGTTTGTTTATTTAAATACAAGTGTGTGTGTTTGTGCATTTTTTAGAGGAATAGAATAAGAGCCTGCAACGCTACCCAAAGAGACCTCCTTAGCAATTTTCCCTGACTATCTGCAGAGAAGCATTTGTGGACTAAAGATTCCGAGGAGGAGCTCTACCTATAACCTGAGACTAGGATGACAAAACCCTTCTTCAGACCCATCTGAAGCCAGTCTGCCTGCTGTTTAAGGGGGTAGGCATCAAGCCATTTCTGAATTGCGTCCACCCTCAACAGAGTTGGTGCTTTTGAAAGATCAGAATATGCAACCAGAGGAGTTCTGTGACTGGGGAGGTTGTTTACACTAAACCCCCGGTGTACTCCGCTGCTCAACTTGCAGATGTGACAAAAGAAGCAAAAAGACCAAAGATGCATATCTTGGACACCAAAGGAAAGGGATCGGTCACTTACCATACATCTACAAAATTATGAACCATACTCAATCCACACCCCCTCTCTAAAATGGTGATATATATAGTCTCATATATGGGGCTAGCTTTCTCGAGGGATCTTCTAAAAAAAAAAAGGAAGCCAAAGCCTGGAAGCATTGCTGACAGTCTTTGAATTATTCTGACCCATCGTCAGCCCTCTCCTCAAGCCGGTAGGCTTCCACACACAGTCAAAAATTGTGACATATTTTCACTCCCAAATAGTATTAAAAAAGTATATAGAGCAGGGGTAAGGATCTCCTTGTATTGCCACCTTGCATTGCAAAGCTAAAGGGTCCATGGATGAGGTAGGGCAAAACTGATGAAATGGGGGCAAAGAAGAAAGTGGCTGCCCCAACCCTGCGCAAGCAACAGCCTCTGTCCCCATGTCCCCTAGTGGATATCCTCTGCAATCCTTCATCCTCCGACTTAGATTCGTCAGAGGAATGAGAGAGTATGGATCATGTAAGAAAGTGAGGTAGCCCTGGAGGGCTGTAATGCCCAATCTCACTGAGTGGAAAACTACGCTAGCGGCGACACTGAAACACTTGGTGATGTCTGTGGGGTCACTTGATTTGACAGAACCAGACCTGAAGACTGGTGAGAATATCCGCTCATGGCAGGCTGCTCAAAACTAGTCAAGACTTCCTGTAAAAGAGAAGACAAAATAGAAGCACAAGGCAGCCAGGGCTGAAGTAGTTGTGAATAGTTAGGCTGTTGCCCGGCCAAAGTTGGGGGTGGGCAGGGAAACAGGGCAAGAGAGTGGAGGGAGAGCAGAAACCATTAGAACAGGAGGAACAGGAGATAAAGGAGAGAGAGGTAGGAAGAAACAACAAGGGTAGAAACATTAGAGACAGAAGTAGGTATATCAGAGATATTAGGTGGTGGAGGTGTAGGGGAGAACACTTTTCTCTAGTTTCAAGACCGCAGGCCGACGACATGACACTGGAAAATAATCTCTGAATCTTCTTTCTGGTCCAACAGCATGCCAAGTCCAGCCCACGATACAAAAGATTCCCCAGCTTACCGGATACAAGAATGACAGGAATCAGAGTAGAGTGGCCTCATAGATGTGGGAGACCCCTTCCATGCATTAACAATGTATCTCTTTCACTCTTGGCCAAGGAGAAGCCCCCTTAATTCTGCTTCGTGCCCACTAGGGGGCCCTATAATCTTATTGATCATGAAATTCTTCTAAGTCTGCTGAAGAGTAAGTCAGAAATCATGTATGAGTCCATTCAGCACATGCCAGATAACAGGGATCCTCCTGAATGTCCAAAACAAGTTGCCAGAGGACTAACATAAGTAAAATCAAAAGCATACCCTTTTCGACTCACAATCAGCACAGATCTCTATCCTGCTTCTACAAACAAACAAACTGAAACAGTAGCCACCTTTTATCAGGAAGGATGATGTCTCAATCCGCCATGAAATTAAAAGCATGTGCTTTATTTCTTCATTTAATATATTGATTAATCCAAGAGGCGGAAGCACTGGGCACAGCACTAACAAGTTTAATGTCTAGGTGGCACTTCCTCTGAGACCATATAATCATTGAAGACAGAATTGTAAATAGATACAGTTCAAATTGATATGATATTATCTGTTACATGTCTGGCAAATCAGCATCCATCAGACAGGTTTTACCTAACATGGAGTATGAAGGTGACTGAATATCAGTTCCTCTTTAACTGGTTAGGATTATAGCTCAGGTCTTGCCTTCTCACATGTTTCTGGGAAAGAGTTCCCAGATGGAAATGGCTTGAAAAACATTGCTCACTAACATCTGTCTGTACACACTTTGGAATTACTTAAATTGATAGATCATTTATTTAAAGAGTCTCAGTTTGAATGTCTTCTGTATTTTCCTATTTTTAACACCTTCTTTAGTTTCAACAGTTCCTTTATGGCACAATGCTTTCACTAACATAATGTATAGAATATTTAATACAGTCATAACCTTAACATCAGAGGAAAGGCATTTAATGATTATTTCTGATGACTTAAAGGTAGGCAGACCATGTAATAGAGCAGCAGGAAATGCTAGCAGAATGCTTGGTTGTATAGGGAGAGGTATTAGCAGTAGAAAGAGGGAAGTGCTCATGCCATTGTACAGAACACTGGTGAGACCTCACTTGGAGTATTGTACACAGTACTGGAGACCGTATCTTCAGAAGGATATTGATACCTTAGAGAGGGTTCAGAGAAGGGCTACTAAACTGGTTCATGGACTGCAGGATAAAACTTACCAGGAAAGGTTAAAGGATCTTAACATGTATAGCTTGGAGGAAAGACGAGACAGGGGGGATATGATAGAAACATTTAAATATATAAAGGGAATCAACACAGTAAAGGAGGAGACTATATTTAAAAGAAGAAAAACTACCACAACAAGAGGACATAGTCTTAAATTAGAGGGGCAAATGTTTAAAAATAATATCAGGAAGTATTACTTTACTGAGAGGGTAGTGGATGCATGGAATAGCCTTCCAGCTGAAGTGGTAGAGGTTAACACAATAAAGGAGTTTAAGCATGCGTGGGATAGGCATAAGGCTATCCTAACTATAAGATAAGACTAGGGACTAATGAAAGTATTTAGAAAATTGGGCAGACTAGATGGGCCGAATGGTTCTTATCTGCCATCACATTCTATGTTTCCATGTTTCCATGTGCTATAACCATATAGTGTAATCAGTTCTTGGTTTTCTATTTGTTAATATTTCTCTTTTGTTGTAGGTCAATCTTTATTTTTTTTTAATTATTATTAACTATTTCTTGTAATGTAAATGTAATTATTTTGATTGTTTTAATGATTAGTAATTGTGGTGACAAAAGGCTTCCTCTTTCCATTAGTGACACATAATGCCTTAAAGCTTAGTCTCTGTCATTGTGAAAGACACTCTGAAAGAGAGCTTCACAGAGCGAGCTCGACCAAGAGACAGAACTTTAATCTTTCATTGAGATGTACCAAAGAAACCTGTCTAGCAAGAGATGGAGATACCTCCTAACAGGTAGGGACCTCTTGTAATGAAGACTTGTACCTTGAAGAACAATGAAACATATTATATCAAGGATGAGTATGTACCTCCCAAAATCATAGTCTTGTGTCTGTGTTTTGTGTACAGATTGACTGTCTACACTACTTATCTGAATCAATACAATTAATTTACCTGAAGTGGAGCAGTTTAGAAATTAAATTAGATACATAGATAGATAGAAAAAAGTAAGATCTAAACAAACCTACTATGCTAACTTGGACTAACTCAATGATTATTTGTGCATCTACTATATATCTTGCTGCATATATCAATGCATCACTAAGGGGGTGCTTATCATGTAGTTCGGGGGAGCTGAACATTGACAATGTGTAGGATTTGTTCTAAAACAGTTATAGAAAATCCATGATATTTTTGTAAACCTCTGAGAAATAACGTAAACATTGTTAACAAACTGTGAAAGATGAATAAGACACAGAGTTACTCACTATACTGTGAATTGTTGGAAATTTATCAGGGACTTGCATAATTTAGGTTGATGTAACCGAATTAGAAAAATTCAAATCAGTTGTGTTTTTAGTTCAGTCTTAGAGGGAACCTTGAGGCACTACAACAATTTAATTGGAACTGTTGCCAGGAGGTCTACACTAAGCCTATCAGTAGCTCTCCATTCACAAAACGGATTGAGAAGCTTGTATATTTTTCGCAAGCCTTTTTTATTAATGAGTACCAAGAGGGCCAGTGGTACTCCTGTCTGAAACAGTCTGAGGTTTCTTCTTTCACAAATCTGAGAGCAGAGGGAAGACAGAGGCAGAGCTAAATGGAGCTGGATAGAGACTTTTGTGTTAAAAAGTGTTTCCAAAAAAATTTAATTCTAATTACTTTGCCTATACCAAATATTTTTCGTCAGCTTTTTTTTTTTAAATATATGTATCCTACAAAAGTGAGTACACCCCTCACATTTTTGTAAATATTTTATTATATCTTTTCATGTGACAACACTGAAGAAATTGCACTCTGCTACAATGTAAAGTAATAAGTTTACAGCCTGTATAACAGTGTAAATTTGCTGTCCCGTCAAAATAACTCAACACTTAATGTCTAAACTGTTGACAACAAAAGTGAGCACACCCCCTAAGTGGAAATGTCCAAATTGGGCCCCAAGTGTCAATATTTTGTGTGGCCACCATTATTTTCCAGCACTGCCTTAACCCTCATGGGCATGGAGTTGAAATGCCAGTGTGGGCCTGCAGCACTCATGCAGGCCCACACCAAGACACTCCCACCAACATGCTTGACTGTAGGCAAGACACACATTTCTTTGTACTCCTCACCTGGTTGCCGCCCCACACGCTTGACACCATCTGAACCACATAAGTTTATCTTGGTCTCATCGGACAACAGGACATGGTTCCAGTACTCCATGTCCTTAGTCTGCTTGTCTTCAGCAAACTGTTTGCGGGCTTTCTTGTGCATCATCTTTAGAAGAGGCTTCCTTCTGGGTTGACAGCCATGCAGACCAATTTGATGCAGTGTGCGGCGTATGGTCTCAGCACTGACAGGCTGACCCCAACCCCTTCAACCTCTGCAGCAATGATGATGATTTGTGAAATACAAATTCCCAGAACACAAGCTTTATTTTGATGCCTCGAACACCATTTCAGTCCAAATAAGGGCTTGTATCAAGCCTGTGATAAATATAAGATCATTTGCTGCTTCCAGCTTTGGTAAAAACTCTTTCCTCTTCCAGCATGTAAAGGTCTCTGGGAACAAAAAATCGAGGTCCATGCACAAATTGTTTATTAACACTCATACAGATGTACTTGACTGGTCTAGACTGTGCTCATGATCTCAGTCTCTTCATAAACCAGTGGGACAAAAATAGAAAATATGCAAACTCTGAAAATGGCAATAGCTTAGATAAACTCAGTAACTTGCCCTTTGGTTAGTCCCCACTCAGGTCTCAACATGATTTTTCTCACTTGTGCCATTACAAAGAGAAACCATATAATTTGCATATCAGGCTGATTCCACCCATAAGGATAATCCAGAACTCGAATGCTGGCAAGTTCCCTCTGCACGTGAGATACAGCAACCTCGGACGATTGTTTCGACCTTCTTTGGTAATCCAGATGTGGACCCCTTGCTAATAGTGACTAGAGGGGTATTAGCTTTACCTCACTGACAAGGCCTAACAAGGCCGAAATGATTGTTCCTGTATCTCTCTTGCAGGGAGAGCCGGCCTGCATTTCAGATCTGAACCGCCCTTTTGGGTGGGATCAGTCTGATAGGCAAATGGCATAGATTCTCTCTGTGACGGTACAGTATGGTCTAAAACTAGGTTGAGATCAGAGCAGGAACCTAGTTGTTTTTTTTTTTTGCTTTCCCTAAGTTTAAAGGGTAATCAAAATATGGATCCCTTGCTCACAGTGTCTAAAAGGGGTATTGGCTATACCTCATTGATGATGCCTAACAAGGCTGAAACAATCATGTTGGGTTGCGTTTCGGATCTAGACCGGCCATTCGTCTTATATGCAAATGGATTTGTTTCTCTTTGTAATTCCACAATATGAGCTAAAACTAGCTTGAGATCTGAGTGGGGACCCACCAAAGGGCAAGCTACTTGAGCTGTTATCTGTACTCAGTATTCTCTTGCACCCTTTTTTTTGGCTCTGGATAAACTGGAAACCTGATTGCAAGTTAGGGCCTATTGCCCAACATCAGTGCTTAACCTCACTGATATACTTGTAATAAAAGTAAGCAGCTCCCTTCAGCAATACTCCAACATCTAGCGTAAAACCTCCAGTGGGCTTTTATAGAAACAAAGAGCTGAAAAAAATCCACAATAATGCCCATGACTTTAGAATAAAATGTTCAACAATTAGGTGTCCTTGAATACAGGCAGATTTTGTTCTTACAATACATTAGTTTTTACTGGCTACTTTTTGCATTTATCCACATATGTTCGGTCAGCTGTTATGTATGATATTATTTATTTAATTATCAATACAATCTTAACAATAAGGTTGATGAGCGCCGACATATTGAATGTATAGCCAGACAGAAATATGTTACAAAGTACAATTACTAAATACTTGTCAACTTAGAATCCAAGGACAGTTCTGGTTTTGGAACACTGTGCCGCCATTTCTGTGTTTTTTTCTCTGGTGTTCCAAATCTGAGGATATTATAGGAAAATCAGTAAAAAGGGCAGATGCCCTATCATTTAACATGCTTTCATTGCACTAGGTTAGTGGTTCCTGTCCCCTTGGCTGGGAACCATATATTTAGTTCCCTACACTATTGTAGTGGGTCCTTTCTGGATGGAGCAGGCACAGGTTCCAGGCAACCTCTCACAGTCACTGGTTTATCATAATGACACTGCCTTCCCACTATACACTAGGATGAGTCCAATAAAAGCATTTTTTTTTGCTTTTTCTTTAATTTATTGCAATTGAAGAATGCCTCACTGAGCTAATTTTACAATTAAAGAATGGGTCTCGAGCTAATGCTATGTACAATATGTTGGTACCTGTCAATAAAGTTTAAAATCAACTGCACTAGTTCAATACAGGACATTTCGGCCCATAAGAGAGAGTTTCTGTGATGCTCCGCACGCTTTGCAAGCTGGCTGGCTTGCAAAGCTGACGGTCTAACTGGAGTGTTCTTTCTTTTTTTTCTTAATAATATATTTATTATGTTTTTTTTAATAGCAAAAAGTCAGTGTTCATCAAGAAATTATTGAGTTTAAAGCTATGAAGATCCAGAAACAAATGGTAATAAGTATTGTAGATCCCAAAATTGAGTAAAATGTTCTGGAAAACATATATTTACTGGTAAAGGTTAGGCCAAGAGCACTCTAGATAGTGTAATTGGAATTATCAGGTGGAGACGGTTTGCCCCAATTTAATTTGTTTGAATCAGAATCATATATGATTCCATTGTGTTGGAAAAAACAACAACTTGTCAAATTATTTATCTACAAAAGGCAGAATTAAAATCTACAGGAATTTTTGCAGATAAATAATTTGATAAGACTTTCCGAATCAAATAATTTCTGATTCAAATACATTAAATCCAGGCCTTTATCATAAGTGGGTACTTTTCCATCTATTTGCTTCTAAAGAAATATAGAAGTTTAGTTATGTCTGGGACTCCAGGATTCTTCAAATTTTGTAAAATCAATATTTTTAGTGATGGAAAGAAGAAGCTGATTATTTGCATAAAGGTTCTCTGGAAAATAATTTATATTTTGTAACATTTTGTAATTCCACTTGCGTTTTATTGAAAATTCTTCATTTAAGTAATAAACTTCCTATTATTTCTTTGTGTGCAGATCAGTATGAGATGAGTCATTTATCAACATTTGCCATTTATGAAATAAACACCCTGTTGTTATCTGTGTAGAGAATCATTCTTCATCAGATGATGGTTTAGTGCAGGCTTCCCCAAACTCTGGCCCTCCAGATGTTCACTGAACCACAACTCCCATGATTCTCAGCCTATTTCATTCATAGAATCATGGGAGTTGTAGTTTAGCAACATCTGGAGGGCCAGAGTTTGGGGAAGCCTGGTTAGTGAATTGAGATTACAATTTATGTGAAGGAATTAATTACAGGGAATATAAACTTTTTATCCCTTTGGCTGTATAGAATCATAAAACGTATGGGTTATCATGAGCTCTATTTGAGTGGATACAAATGGTAATCACTAACACATCGATTTTCTAATGTGCGAGCAAAGCAGAGCAAGTTTGAAAAAATGACCAACACATGTCCAACACATGACAGCTCCAACTTAAGTGACCTATGTGTAGTAAAGTCTCCTAAGTGAAATTAGATATACCTGTGTTAATTGTTGCAAGCCCAACTCATCAAAGGGAATCCACCATTGTGAGATTTCAGACAAATTGTATCATGGAAACAACCAGGGAAGAGATCTCTAACCTCTCTACCTCCCAGGGCTGGACTGGGAAAAAAAATTTGGCCCAAGCATTTTTAAATCACAGCGGCCCCCTGAGAAGGGGGCGGGGCCAGAGAGGGTGTATTTTGTCATCACTAATGACAAGCACGCCACCTCTCACAGCGAGCATGTTGGTTCAATGTGCAGAGCCCCACTGAAGAGCTCTAGCATGAGAAAAAGGCCCTGTATTTGTTCTGCGCAGCGCAGGCAAATTTAATAACATGCTTGCGCTGTGTTTGCTTTTAACTTGTCGCTGGTGTCTCCATAAGCTGATTGTGGTGTGGTATTGTGTAAATAGGTTAATTCCATTCGTGTTTGTGGTGTAATATGTGTGGCTAGGGGCTAGAGAGAGTGTGTGTATAGGGGATGTAGCATGTGTGTATATAGGTGACAAAGTGTGTGTAGGGGTTGTAGTAAGTGTGTTTAGAGAATGTAGTATGTGTTTGCTTACAAGGAATGTAGTGTGTGCATAGGAGATCCAGGGTTTGTATGTCAGGAATGTAGTGTGTGTGTGTGTGTGTAGGGGATTTAGTGTGTAAAGGACCCAGAGTGTATATAGGAGATTGTGTGTGTAGATCAGATGATCCAGAGTTGAGTAAGGGATCTGGTGTGTATCTGGAGCATAATGTGTGTAGTGGTGCAGTGAGAGAGGTGCTGTAGTGTATATATATATATATATATATATATATATATGTTTGGATGTATTGTATGTATGAGGAGCACAGTGTGTTGGGTGTGCTGTGTGTATGTGTGAGGGGTGCTGTGTGTGTGAGGGTGGTCTTATCTGTCGTCACATTCTATGTTCCTAATTTTCTTTGTCTGTTAACTCGCTGAGGGTTATTTTATATATTATATATATGTGTGAGTGTGTTGTGTGTGAGGGTGCTGTGTGTGTGAGGGTGATGTGTGTCTGAGGGTGCTGTGTGTGTGTGAGGGTTCTGTGTGCCTGAGGGTTATGTGTGTGTGTGTGTGTGTGTGTGAGGGTGCTGTGTGTGTGTCTGAGTGTGCAGTGTGTGAGGGTGATGTGTGTGTCTGAGAGTGCTGTATGTGTGTCTGAGGGTGCTGTGTGTGAGTGTGCTGTGTGAGGGTGCTGTTCATGTGAGTGGGCTGTGTGTGTCTGAGGGTGCTGTGTGTGTGAGGCTTCTGTGTGAGAGAGTTGTTAGTGTGAGTGTGCTGTGTGTGTGTGAGGGTGCTGTGTGTGTGTGACGTGTTGTGTGTGTGTGAGTGTGCTGTGTGTGTGTGAGGGTGCTGTTAGTGTGAGTGTGAATATGTTTGAGGGATTGTGTGTGTGGGGAACATATTTAAATATACATGTATTTTTACAAAACTTTATATCCCCCCTTCCTTCCTTCTTACCTTTAGCATAGGAGGTGGGAAGGAGGGAGGTCCATGCTGCCATCCCTGATGGTCCTAGTCGTGAGTGAACTGTAGCCTGCAAGGCTAAAGCTCACTCTTGCGAGATCTGAGTGTTGCCGTGGTAACCGTGTCAACGCTCCCTCCTCTTCCAATACATCTGTCACGGTTCTCTCCTCTAAGCCACCATACAGCTCAAGTAATAGCCTGAAGTTTGGATCTTACCTTGTATCCAGCACTGGGGGTTGGAATTTACCTGAATTTACTGCTCCTGTCACTCATGATTCACCTGTAGCTGATGGCCTCATTAGCCAGGTATAAGACACTGCCTCTCCCTGATAGCAGTGTCAGTTCATTGACTCTGGTTCCTGTATTGCTGTTTCGTGTTCCAGTGTTCTCCTGTTGATTCCTGACCTTGGCTTGTTATTTCGTGTATCCTGACTTCTGGCATCCTCTGACCTTGGCTCTCTACTCGTTTATCCTGATTTCTGGCACCCACTGACCTTTGGCATAACCACGACGATTCTCCTGTTTATGTCCGTATCTGTACTGCAACTTGGAGCATCATCCTGCACTGCCCCCGTACACAGACTCACAGGCCAGGTGAGTTCTTCCCTGACCACCGTGGCCTGTATTTAATTGCAAGGGTGATCATATATCTGCGCTACAGACTCCCAACCAAGGTAAGCCGTTACAACATCACCCAACCCCACTCCCTCCACTGTTCTATGCCCATTCACACCTACTACAACGAAAGAGGTATCTGCTCTGCTCCGGTCCTCCCGCCCCATCACCTGTTCCCTCAATTCCATTCCCTCATATCTCATCTGAAATCTGTCTCACTCTCTTGCTCTTCCTTTTACTAAAATTTCCAGTCTCTCCCTTATCTCGGCATGTTTCCCCTCACCCTTCAAGCATGCAACCATAACGCCGATTCTGAAAAAGCACCACATTGACCCCAACTACCGCCCTATAACGCTACTGCCATTTGCCTCCAAGATTCTTGAGAGAGTTGTGTATGCAAGATTGACAGATTTCCTCAAATCCAACTCTCTGCTTGACCCGCTTCAGTCTGGATTCCGCAGTCGTCACTCTGTTGAAACAGCTGTGATCAAAGTATCCAACAATTTAATCGCTGCTAAATCTTGATCCCATTACTCTATCCTAATTCTCCTTGATCTTTCTGCTGCCTTTGACACTGTTGATCATCAACAGCTTCTTCTTATTCTCCGTAATCTCGGTCTACGGGATACTGCTCTCTCCTGGTGCTCCTCCTACCTCTCCCAGCACTTTTCCAGTGTTTCTTTTTCTGGCTCTACCTCTCCTCTCCAACCCCTCTCTGTTAGCTACTGCCATTTGCCTCCAAGATTCTTGAGAGTTGTGTATGCAAGATTGACAGATTTCCTCAAATCCAACTCTCTGCTTGACCCGCTTCAGTCTGGATTCCGCAGTCGTCACTCTGTTGAAACAGCTGTGATCAAAGTATCCAACAATTTAATCGCTGCTAAATCTTGATCCCATTACTCTATCCTAATTCTCCTTGATCTTTCTGCTGCCTTTGACACTGTTGATCATCAACAGCTTCTTCTTATTCTCCGTAATCTCGGTCTACGGGATACTGCTCTCTCCTGGTGCTCCTCCTACCTCTCCCAGCACTTTTCCAGTGTTTCTTTTTCTGGCTCTGCCTCTCCTCTCCAACCCCTCTCTGTTAGCGTTCCCCAAGGTTCGGTCCTTGGTCCCCTACTGTTCTCTATCTATACTGCCTCCCTTGGTAAACTCATCAGCTCCTTTGGCTTCCATTATCATTTATATGCAGATGACACACAAATCTACCTGTCCTCTCCTGATCTCTCTCCGCACATCTTGACTTGTGTCTCTAACTGCCTCTCCGCGATTTCCAACTGGATGGCTGCTCATTTCCTTAATCTCAACCTGTCCAAAACAGAACTTCTGGTCTTTCCTTCCTCAAGTGTTGCTACTCCCGGGTCTGTCTCCCTCCAAGTCAACAGCTCCATCATCACCTCTACCTCGCAGGCTCACTGCCTGGGTGTTCTCTTTTACTCCGACCTCTCTTTCACCCCTTGTAGCGGAGCTGCAGTATTCACATCGATATCTCTGCTGGTAGACTTAATATATAATATAATAAATAATAATATCCAAGAGAAGCGTAGCTCGGGAATCCCATTCAAATGCCCCAAGAACCGGACGATACACAGCTTTGGGAGTCAACTGTTTTTTTTTTATTGAGCCACAGCTGGCTTTTATACAATTCCCCATGCAAGGGGTTTCCTTAATTACATTCCTGGAGTTTTCCCCTGGTGGACCTTGGTGGGGACAGGGAACAAAGACACATTTCCCAGACTCCTTTTCTGTACTTGGAAGATAATTGCGTAAGTACAATTCTTTAATTAAATTATCTCCCAGGTAGAGAAAATTAAACAATATTTCAAACCATCATAACTCCTAGAATATTAGTCAGAACTCCATGAAAGACACTTCACCAAAAAGCAGGGATCTGAGCGCCCAATCTGTCGAAATACCGCTTAGATCCGTTCGATAAAATAGGAATGCCATTTGAGTGAAGTTTAGACCGTGAGGCGAAGTCCTAAAACAGTTCAATGTGGTTGTATGCATTGACCGGTCTTCTTTCGTGAGTTTTCACTGTTAAACTAACAAATGCAACTGTTCATGAAATAGGTGGTTGTGTGCCTTGCATCCATTCGTTTCATTCAGTCGAATGCCGCTCTGTATAGGCGAAAGGAAATGAATGTACGAATAGGATGGAAGTCCAGCGGTGTTCGCACCGTCTAGTGTCCTATTATCGTACCACGCACTCGACAACCAAACACCGCTGTATGTTCGTGTGCAAAGATGGCCACCGCCATGCTTTCAGTCATATGAACGGCGGTCACCCGTTCGATCATTTAGAATATTGCAGTTTTCTGTTGTCAATATAGTCAATTGGAGGCACACGACTCCCTTGGGTGGTCTCACAGTTCGATGGTTGGTTCAACTGACAAACAATATATCTGTGGTGACTAGTTTTGCCACACCCCTCATGTCCAGTTGATCGCCAAATCCTGCTTCCATCTCAAAAACATAGCTTGCATCCATCCTTATTTAACACCAGACGCAGCTAAGATGCCGGTCCATGCCATTGTTCTTTCTCGCCTTGAGTACTGAAATCACCTTCTCAGTGGTTTTACATGTTCCCAGATTGCACCGCTGCAATCTATAATGAATGCAGCGGCGAGGCTCATTTTCCTGTCCGTCCACTCCTCCCACGCCTCCCCCCCTCTGTCAGTCCCTACATTGACTTCCAGTTAGATATAGGGCTCAATTTAAGATTCTGGTGCTGGCTTACAAGTCCCTACATAATGCTGCACCAACCTACCTATCCTCCCTAATGCACAAATATGTCCCGTTGAGGCCCCTGCACTCTGCCAAAGACCTACGCCTATCCTCTGTCTGTATTCCCACATCTGATGCTCGCCTCCAAGACTTCTCCAGGGCTGCACCTTTTCTGTGTAACTCCCTTCCCTTCTCTGTTAGACTTTCACCCAGTCTCCACTCCTTCCAAAAATCTTTGAAAACACACTTCAGGAAAGCATATCATTTAAACTGTTAGCAGATTTTAATCCCCCCCCCCCTCCATGACTCCTCTCCTGCAACTGTCAGAAGTAACCTACTAAGTTCTCAGTCATTACTTTTCTAGCAACCTATTTATACCTTTTGTGTCACTATACCCCACTCCCTCTAGTACATGGGTCGTCAACCTGGTCCCTACCGCCCACTAGTGGGCGTTTCAGGATTCCAGGTGGGCGGTAGGGATTTCCTCATTTTGAGAGATTGGGCGGGCAGGTGTGAGGGTGACTAAAATATTTTGTGTGAATGTGTCTTTGTATGTATGTCTTGTGTGTGTGTATGTGTGCCTTGTCGTTGTATGTATGTTTCGTATGTATGTCTTATGTGTGTGTCTTTGTATGTGTGTGTCTGTATGTGTGTGTGTGTGTCTGCCTGTCTGTTTGTATGTATGTGTCGTGTGTGTGTGTGCCTGTCTGTGTGTGTGTCTGTTTGTATGAATGTATATGTCTTTGTATGTGTGTCTGTATGTATGTGTGCCTGTCTGTTATAGTGGGCTATAGTAAGTGGGCTACCTAGCTCAGCCTTCCTACTGGGCATTGCTATAAGGAAGGTTAAAAAATAGAAAAAAGGAAAAAAAAAAGGTGGGGACGGGAATTGAGGAGGGAGAGGAGATGAGCTGATGCAGAGATGAGAAATCATTTTATGCGCAAACAGAGAAGTCGTCTGAATATCACCGAAAGAGGAGACCTTTGTTTGTTCCTTACAAAAATCGATCCAGATATCAAATATTTTGTCTCGTAGCATCATCCTCAAGGATCTCATTAATCACTAGTTAAGGTAATTTCAATTTACTTTATTGTTTTCTCATTAAACTTTATAAAGTTAAAAACATTATAAACATGCATTAAGTAGAAATAAAAAATAAATGTACGTACATTTTTTTTTTTTTAAACACCCTATTTTCTAAAAAATATTCTGCATTTGCGTGAAAACTGATGGGCGGTAAAGGAAATTTTTCCATCAAGAAAGATGCATTAGTGTGCGGTAGGTAGAAAAAGGTGGACTACCACTGCTCTAGTATGTAAGCTCATTGAGCAGGGCCCTCAACCCCTCTGTTCCTGTGCGTCCATTTGTCTGGTTACAATTATGTGTCTGTTAGTCCACCCATTGTACAGCGCTATGGAATTTGCTGGCGCTAGATAAATAATAAAATAATATTAATAATTCTGCTTTATTGCCTAAATATAGATATCTACACAACAACAAATGATTTACATTATTGCTCTATAAATACAAATTTTAATTTATTATGGGTATTTAGGTGACGTGGCTGTTAGTGATGTGGTTATATAAATGATTAATATAGCTTCCTTTCCCACTCAGAGCACTTGAATTCGACTGCAAGTTCCCTGTACAATTTTATAATTTGTGATATTGTTTCCCTGTATGTTCTAAAACCGTGCAAATATTTCTTGTGAGCGTCCTAGATACTGCATTGCAATTAGTGTTTCTGTGTGTTAACTAGGGCGCTCCATATCTCATGTGAGAATAACTAGCAAACCTTATTAAAGCAACACTCCTGTCACTTGCGCTGGTTTACCTTTAGGGGTTAAACTGTTCACAAACTGTTTAACCCTCACGCAAATATGGCCTTTTAACACTGAGGAATTTAAACCGGCACTGTCATGGCCAAATCCTGTTTTGTTCCCATTTTAGCCGGTGGCTGCTCACTGTTGTAAAAAAAAAAAGCCCCCCCCTCCCCCCTTCTAACAAATGGCACAGTCTAAAATGACAGGACGTTCAGGAATACTGAAAGGAAGCACTACGAGATCATTGAGGAAAGGTAAGAATTGTGGGAAAATTTCTCTGACCACAGGAAACGGAGCACACTTTGCTGCTCCGCTGGTCATAGATGGTCAGGTGAAGGAAACCTCCATAAGACAAATAGTCCCTACGTTGTCTTTTGTTTTAAAGAAAACTAGAGCAGACAGGAAGAAATGAAGGACAGATCCTGACAGAGGGAGAGAAGAGGAATCGATTGGGGGAAAGGTAAGTTCAACATGACAGTGCCCCTTTAAGTAAACTTATGTTTTACCAATAATTTGTAAACATTATGTGTTATGTTATAGTGTATTATTGATTCTTGATAAGTAAAACATATTTTAAACTAATTAAAGTAGCGATGGGGGAGGGGGGTAGGGGTGGGGCATAAAGAATAATGGGCAATAGGGCATGAATCATTTTCTTTAACAAAAAATGTGTACAGGTTGGAGTATTTTATATAGGACAGGGGTAGGCAACCTACGGCACTAGTGCCATGCACGGCACTCAAGGTGTATTTGCATGGCACTCAAGGCTGCTAGAGCCAAACAGGCTCTGGCCTATCCGGAGTCCCAGTAAAACTTCAGATATCTGCTAATACGAAGAGGTGGTGAAGGACAATCCTCAATTTAAGCATTGCAGCACGTAGAGGTAGTGATCTCAGATCACTTCCTCCCAGCACTTGTGAATAGGAATCCACACTGTAGTAGAGCAGCTCGCTGTTGCAGCTCCTGTCCTTGACATGTACCTGGCCTGCCTAGTCCCCACTGGAAGCCACCCACACTGCTAGATATACACAGAAATGCAGAATAACCCTCCCCTCATACAAATAATACGGACAGCCCACACACAAATATACACACAATCCGCACAAACGAAACACCACTAACAATCCACATACATGCACACAACCCCACATGCAATACCCCAAACAGCCCCCACACACTACCAAACACACACTGTGACATATCCACACACACACAATTCCACAAGCATCCCCCATACACAGCCCACATTCATATGTATCATACACAATACCATAAACTACTCATGAACATATACAATATAATAGCTCATACACGCAGGGCCATCTTTAACATGGGGCAAACTGGCCAGCTGCACCGTGAGCCCTGCTGGCCTCAACTATTTCTAACCCTCTGGCCGGTAATCCGCACACTAAGGAGGCCCACCGGGTGGCCCATGCATAAAGGACCACCCGGTGGGCTTCTGTCAGCAGGGGACAGGTCGCACGCTGAGGCGCTTTAACAGTGCGAGCGGGCCCCTTGCTTTTCGGCAGCAGGCTGGGAGGAAGTGACGGCTGTGCATCACTTCCTCCCACAAAGAGAGGAGCGCGTGGGAAAGAAGAGTAGGCAGATTGGAGGGGGGCTGGCCGCAAGCGCTAGACCCCAACGCCCAACACCTTCAGCCACCAGCAGGAAAGGTAGGAAACTGGAGGGTGGGTTTTAAAGTGTATGTCTGTGTCAGTATGTCTGTAATTGTGTGTGTGTGTGTGTGTGTCAGCATGTTTATGTGTCAGTATGTCTTTGTGTGTTAGTATATCTGTGTGTGTGTGTGTGTGTGTGTGTGTGTCAGTATATCTGTGTGTGTCAGTATGTTTGTATGTCTTTGTGTGTGTATCTGTGTGTATGTACGCATTTCAGTGTGTATATATATCTCTGTTTGTGTGTGTGTGTATATGTGCATACATCTCAGCATTCACACACTACACACAAATACACCCCTGCATTCAAATTTCAACATTACGTACAAACACATGTCTGTGTTACACACCAAAATTATATGTAAAAACACCCCTGCATTCAAAAACCAACACTACACAAATACATGCTTGCAATCACGCCAACACCACATACAAACATATTCCATACAAAACCCTGTTTACATTCAAACACACAAAAACTGCTTAGTGCTAAATACAGACCTGCAAACATGGGTAAATGGTAGAGCCCCAGCTGTCAATGCATTTCTGGAGTTGCACAACAGATGGGGATCTACCTTTTTAATCACCCGTGCAACCGGGAGACCCCCAAAAATTATTGCACCTCTCTACTTTAGGTCCGCCACTGCGTTGAGGTGGAGGACGTGATTGCATGCCTGGGGAGGGGGGACAGGGTCCAGCGGGCCCCAAGCAAATGCTTTGCCCAGGGTCCAGTCACTATTAAACACGGCCCTGCATATACGCTCAAATACAATGATACAAAGCAATTACAGTAAAAATAACACAACCAGAATACAGCAGCATACACACTTCCATTAAAAAAAAAAAAAATAGGACCGGCACGCTACGGGACATCATAATCCTATATCGGCACAGTGTTGCTAAAAGGTTGCCTACTCATAGGATATAATTTAATTGATGCTGGGGATCTGTTTTTCACTAACATATAATGTAAATTCTGTAAATGTTAATCACTAAACATGAGGTTTATTCACTAAACCCAGAATTGGAGCAATTGGCAATATTTAGGGCAAAATAGTTTAATTTGAGTTAAAAGGTGCAGCTACTCTCACAGCTTGGAGATTATCGCCTTCATTTTGCAATTTGGCTTTTTAATCACTGTTTAGAGAATAAACCTGATATGTGTTTTAACTTGGTATTTCATAGTTGATATATAGTTATTTGGCATATGCCTTTAGACATTTTTAAGAGGATTTTTTTACTTTACTGTTGGAGAACTTATCAGCAAGTTATTTTGTGGTAATACAAATATGTATGTATATGTATGTGTGTGTGTGTATATGTATGTATGTATGTATGTATGTGTATGTGTGTATATATATATATATATACAGCCAGTATAAGATATCTTATAACTAAAATAATATATATACAACAAATAGTGATATTATAATAAAACCCCTAAATAGGATATGCTCTGGGAGGATCAACCCCTGAAATTTGTATGATTCAATGTGGGGTATAGGAAAAATGTCCTTGTAAAGGCTGCAGATCTAGTGTCTGCAGCTACTGCAGGCCCTCCCCCTTTTCTCTGGAACAGACTTTAAGTTTGTGCTGGCAGATTGACCAGTTCAAGGCTTCTGATTGAGAAGCCTCTATAGATAAAGTTTTGAATGTGTCTTTCCATTCACACACTTGTCAATGAGCTACAGTATACCACCAGAGCAAGCTGGGGTGCAGAGGAGCTGCAGTCAGTACGTTTTAGCAAGCTGGCCTGCTGCTTCCATTAGCCCAGAAGAGCTAAAGGAAGTGGAAAAAAAATCTTCCCGTCAATCAACTGTCAGTTACAGAATTCATTTATAAAAGTGTAATTTTATATTTGAAACAGCACTTTTATAAATTGAAAAGAGGCATACTTTACACACATAAATATAGGATGTGTTTGGTGTGTTCCTTTAAAAGTTACCAGGCAAAAACTTGTTTTTTCCTGTGAGTCATTGCCTTTTTAATATGACGCAATACTGGCCCTTATGTGCACTGACTGATGTTGCATACTGTTGCATAATCTACTGTCTGCAATTATCCATTTCAATTATTTTCAAGTTTTCCTTTTTGTACCATTTGTTTTTCTCAGACATGATAGTCTGATACTTACTGAACCTCAGAGTTGCTACCTAGAATATTATTTTTACATCATGCACACACTATAGTAAATTGTGTGTATAGCATAGTACAGCATGCCATGGAGATAGTTAACTTGTACGCAGTCCATGGTCCCTAGCAGCCAGCAGAGAGGTAGGTGCTTACAGAAGCCAGCTCTGCTGCCCACAATGTAACACGTATGTCCAATTTACTAAAATTGTTAACACGTGTGCACAAGTCAACTATCCCGTGGGCATGATCTACTAAATTGTGCACACAAACTACTGTGTGAACACAATGTAAAAAAAACAAAACAGTCTAGGTGGCACCTCTGTAGCTACTTGCCCATGGAATTTTGCATTTCTCCAAATATCCTTGAAGACATTTTTCAATCTAATTGTAATACTAAACAGATTTAAGACAGTCAAGCCGTTCATTGTGAAATGATGTGTCGAAAGGGGAGATAAACAACAGCAATGCAAGGGGAACTTGTTTGATATTGTATTACAATGCCTTGTACTATTTCTTTACATTACATTTTTAATGTGTATTTGTAGCGGAGAGGTAGTATAATCCACAGTATCTCTGCTGGGTAACAGGAACAGCATAAAATAATCCAAGGAAATAAATACAGCATACAATAATCCCGGTAGTGTTATACGAATCCTTTCTTCCCAAGAACTAGACGACACATAGGCTGGGAGTCAACTGAGGTTTTATTCACAGGACACTGTATTTATAGGATTCCCCATGCAAGGGGTTTCCCTACTGACATTCCAGGGGTGGTACAGTAGGGGACTACATGGGGAACTGACCAACACATACATTTCTCCCACCATGCACTGCTGCACGAGAGGGATACTCCCCCTAGAATATACCGTTAAATGGATTATCCCTCCGTCCAGCCGAACTTACATTTTATATTAAAATGTATAACTTTAATAATATTCCCCTGATTTACACAAATGGACGTTCAGTAGATAGCTGGAGGCTAAGCGCACAGTTCGTGAGAATACCGCTCAGCTCCCAGTCTAACTAACCGAACGCCGCACGAAATACACATTATTTCTAACTAGTGATGTCCCGAACAGTTCGCCACGGACTCATCATTGAGTAAACTTTGACCCTGTACCTCACAGTCAGCAGACACATTCCAGCCAATCAGCAGCAGACCCTCCCTCCCAGACCCTCCCACCTCCTGGACAGATCACTAAGAATGCAGCTTCACAATGGATGCTGTCCAGGAGGTGGGATGGTCTGGGAAGGAGGGTCTGCTGCTGATTGGCTGGAATGTGTCTGCTGACTGTGAGGTACAGGGTCAAAGTTTACTCAATGATGAGTCCGCGGCGAACAGTTCGGGACATCACTATTTCTAACACATTGCAAAACTACCAATTGGTATTAGGGGAACAAACTACCAAACGGCTGGGGCTCCCGAACGGCCTGGAAGTCCAGCAGTGTTCACGCTGTTGAGTAGCCGATTTTAGTTCCAGGTGCTCGATGGCAAAACACCGCTGGGCTAACAAAGGATCCAAGATGGCCGACCGCCACGTGGTCGGTAGTCGAATGGCGGCCACCCAGGGAAGCCTTTAACTACCGATTGCAACAATGTGCCACATGACCTCTTGTGTGTGGTTGACCATTCGGTAGTTTATTCGTTTCATGAACAGTGTTGAAACTCACTGTTCGTGAAACTACATTAGGAAAGCTGGGTTTTCCATACTGCAAGCATACGAACACCCTCATTCGTCTGAAGGACACATACAGTAATACACTTGGTTCTCACAGCTGAAACAGGGATACACACACATTCAATATGGCTAGTCTTAAGTGGCTAGTTTTGCCACAGTATTCTTGTATTACTTTGTGATATTGAGCGAAACTTAATAAATGCATAATTACATAAACAAAATGCAATGTGTTAAACAACTTTCAGACAATTTAAAAAAACAGTAGGTATATAACAGAAATAAAATAATAAAATTTATGTTTTCAAGTGTTCCAATCAATACTTCAGATACGTAGGGGTAATCTGGGAGATATGGAACAAATGCATCTCTTATTTATGAAACAGCAGGATATCTGCTCACACAGTGCAGACACAAAACACTTGGGATTAGAATGATGAATAATATGGAACAAATGCAAACTTCACTTGAATGGCGACTGGGTTAAGATGTAACCTACAGGGTTATTCTCAAAAGTTTGATAGTTAAAGTTTCACTTTAAATTTAAAAATAATTTCAAATTGTAATATGAAATGGCTGTACTGAAGTTGTAGCTGGATTGGAAAAAAAAAATTTCTGATTCAGCTATTATGCCCTAAATGTTGAAATGTACTTTAATCCCTGACAAATAACACTTTAGTATAAAATCTTGGACAGGAATGGATTTTGGAATGGACAGGATTATCCACTAAATTTTGAATTGGAGAGTATGGACAAAAATTCATCAACTCAACTATAAACACAGCATGGCTATTTTAGCCTGCATTTTGCTATTTAAATTTGAATTTATTTCAATTGACAGTTTAGTGAATAATTCCAATAGTGTACAATATTTAGGAATTAATATCCTGACAACTGGACATTTAGCATATTTCTTCTACTCTCGAATATGTATCTTTTGGTAACAATAACACAAGAGTCATATGGCATGGTTTATTGCAAAAAAGGGTTTGCACTTTGATATCCTCACGTGGAAGTTAATATTTTGTTTTCTCTCTTGCCCCCATCACCCATCGTATGCCCTCTAACTTCCTATCACCAGCCCCCACTCTACCCCTTGCATGTGCATCTGTTCAACCCCCATCACAGTCACGTGTGTCTCTTCAACCCTTCTCCCTAAATTTGTTTGTGTCTCCATCTCATTCCCCATCTCTTGTGTGTCTCTCCAGCACTTCACACTCACTTATGTGCTTCAACGACACATCTTAACTCCTTGTGTATTTCTCCAAACTGTGTTTCTCTCCAGGTACTCCTTTATCCCTTTGTTTGTCTCTCCAGTCCTCCTTCCAGCCTTCATGGGTCTCTAAAGCCCAGTTGACATCAAGGACATCCAAATTCTCTTTGTATACTAAATAACTCTTAATCTGCTTAATCTGTATCTCATCCACAAAAATGTAATGCGGTATTCTCAAACCTGTGAGCAAGACTGTGAATAGGCTGATTACTGTCAGGGTATGGTTGGTATCCGCTTACTCCATAGTTCCACTCATCCTTAGTGATGTGTTGAATTTCAGATGGGTAATAAATTACAAATCCATTCATCCCGTGCTGGCCAGAAGTTTATGGAATAAGAGAAAAAAAATTAAGCAGGGCATTTATGGAGCTACAACGTCTGACTCCTGATTCTGTCAAATGGCTGAGAGAATGTTCTTAAATCCATGATGCTACTGTGTAAAAAAAATATTTTTTTACTTTTTTTTTGTTCTTTGGTATAAAAAGTATTCCACTATAAACACTTTAACGAATGTCTTTAATCGCTATAGACCATTTTAACATCATCTTTAATACTGTTTATACGATATATATCTAAACATGTATATTCTTATTTTTTTGGTTTTGTTTTTTTTCTCTTTGAAGTTCTCTTGTACTCACAGGTGGAGATTTGTTGCTCACTGTACCTTAGTATTACTATTGAACCACCAAAGCCAGCTGTTGGACAAAGTGTTTTGTTCCTTGTTTCTTACACTGGAGAGCTCTATAATGTCAACTGGTACAGAGGAAAAGGAACCGGAGAGAAGATAAATATTCTGACACATGGTCCTGGATCTCCCTATCCTCCTACACAAGGTCCACTCTACACAGGGAGAGAAACCGTGATGGAAAATGGGACACTACAAATCTCTCACCTAATGACTAATTATAGTGGATTCTACACCGTGGAAATCACAACCCCAGCGGGCCTTCAATACCAGAGTATTGAACTCACTGTGTGTAAGTAACTTTACATGGCTTTTTGTGTTTGATTAACTCCAACAAAACAGTCAAATGTCATAATGCTGCCCATGTACATTAGATTTCGGAACTCATTAAAGAGAAACTGTTATGTAAAAAATATTTATATTACTTCACATACAGATAAAAGAAACCAGATACCTAACTGTATCCACTGCTACGATATCTGTGTCATTTATTTATAAAATAAATATAGTTAAGGAACCATTCATGAACAGATCAGGTACATGCTGCTACCTTTTGTGTTGCTAGGATTGCACACCTATTGAACACCAGTTGCTCTGGAAACATTGTTGTCAGTGTCTGAGAGAGAATTATGGGGAAAGGCATACCAAGAAAATATCCTTGTTTCATCACTGCTGATCTAGATCGATGCACTAGATTTCAAAAACACTTTAGGAACGTGTACACATTTTTAACAAATGTCAACACTACTTGTGAAATGTTTACCTAATTTATTGTTGTCTGCTGTGAATTTTTTTTTATCAATAATAAAAAAAAACTATAACCAGAAAGTGGAGTGTTGTGTGAAAGCAGGTCTAGGAGGGTTAAAAGGGGCAATATATAAAGCCAATTTAACAAACTTTAGAAATTACATTATCATGAATGTGCTGGCAACCAAATTGTGTCCAATAAAAGCTGCTCAGATAGCAGTGGTGTTGTGCAAGGAGGGGCTTTGGAGCTGAAGCTCCACATGTGCAGGTCTTTAGACCCAATTCTCTATCTTTAGCTTGCGCTGTGTTAATTGTGTGCAGGATTGCAGTGAATATTTATTTGTGCAGTATGTGCTTGTTTTCTGGCTCAATTTCATCAAGATCCTGGCATGCACTGATGGCTCATTGTTCATGGGTAGAGAGGTAGGGGCATTATAGAGAGGCTGGGATATGTCTAGAATTGGATCCCTATCCCTACTCCCTTTTTCCTGAAAGCTTCTGGAAAGACTTCTCTTTACCCGTATGTCTCACTTCCTCAATTCCAACTCTCTCCTTCACTCTTCACTCTGGCTTGCCCTCTCCACTCTACTGAGACTCTTTTATCAAAGTACTAACAATCTAATCGCAGCTAAATACGGGACCGGACTGGGAAAAAAATTCTCTAGCTTTAGAAAAAGGCCCTGTATTTGTTCTGCAAAGCGTAAGCAAATGTAATAACATGCTAGCGCTGTGTTTGCTTGTAACTTTGGTGTCTCCATAAGTGGTGTACCAGAGGACAAAAGGACCAGGAAAGCGGATGGTGCATGTGTTTGGAGCCTGCTTGTGGGGTTGTGTGTGTGTGTAGTGTGGTGTGGTATTGTGTAAATAGGTCAATTTAATTTGTGTTTGTGTTGTAATATGTGTGGCTAGGGGCTGTAGAGAGTGTGTGTATAGGGGGCATAGTGTTATAGGGGATGTAGCGAGTCTGTGCATACGGGCTGTAGTGTGTGTGTGTGTGTGTGTGTGTGTGTGTGTATGGGGGACGTAGTGTGTGTAGGGGTTGTAGAGAGGGTATGTTTAGAGAATGTTGTATGTGTTTGCTTACAAGGAATGTAGTGTGTGTAGGTGGTGCAGTATGTGTGTAGGAGATCTAGTGTGTAAAGGACCCAGAGTGTGTATAGGAGAGTGTGTGTGTGTAGAGGATTAAGAGTGCATATAGGGTAAGGGATCTAGCATATATCTGGAGTGTAATGTGTGTAGTGGTGCTGTAGTGTGTGTGTGTGTGTGTGTATATATATATATATATATATATATTTATTTGGATGTATTGTATGTGTGAGGGGTGCAGTGTGTGTGTGTGTAAGAGGGGTGCTGTGTGTGAGGGTGTTTTTATCTGGCGTCACATTCTAGGTTTCTAATTTTCTTTGTCTATTAACTCACTGAGGGTTATTTTATATTATATATATATATATATATATATATATGACTTTGTTTATATATATGTGTGTGGGAGGGTGCTGTGTGTGTCTGGGGGGTGCTGTGTGTGTGTGTGTGTCTGTGTCTGGGGGTGCTGTGTGTTTTGGGGTGCTGTGTGTGTGAGGGGGCTGTTAGTATGAATTTATTTTTTATCTAAATTAATATATATAATTTTATTAATAAAAGAAAAAGTTATATCCCCCCCCTCCCTTCTTACCTTTAGCCTGGGAGGGGGAGCCATGCTGCCTTCCCTGGTGGTCTCGCGAGATCTGAGCATTGCCGTGGTAACCGCAATGCTCAGACCTCGCGAGAGGAACCCGGCGGAGCTGCTGGCCTGAGCTCCACCGGATCCTCTCTCCTCTCCCTCCCCAGCCAGCGGCAGTGTTACAGTGCCTGTGGGCTTGTGAGGGAGATCTTTGATCTCCCTCACCGGCCCATGGAGGCACAGAGCAGGGCCGGCACTCGGGTAGCGCAGGCCCTGCATGGGCCAGCCGGGGAGATCTTGTGATCTCCCCTGCCGGCCTCGGCCCACGGCCATCGTGGTCCACCGGCATTTGCCCGGTATCCCCGATAGCCAGTCCAGGCCTGACTCCATACTAATTAATTTTGTCCTCGCTGCTGCCTTTGATTTTTGCTCTGTCCTAGGTCTCCTATTTTCTCTTTATACTGCTTCTCTTGGCAAACTTATCACTTAATTTGGATTCCACTACCACCTGTACACTGATGACACCCAGATATATCACTCCTCCCTGGACCTCTCCACTGCCATCCTGCAACGTGTCACTGCTTGCCTTTCTTCCATCTCTGACTGGATGTCCTACCGCTTTCTGAAACGCAATCTCTCTAAAACTGAGATCCTTGTCTTTCCTCCTCCTAATATTGACCCTCCTCTTTCGCTCTACCTTCAAATTAGTGGTATCCCATAAATCCATCCTTGCAAGTGCGCTGTCTTGGCGCCATACTTGACTCTGGCCTCACCTTTGAGCCTCACATCCAGTATGTTGCCAAATCCTGTAGCGTCAATCTTAAAAACATAGCCCTCATCCGCCCCTTTCTTAAGCAAGATGCTACTAAGGAACTTGTCCATGCTCTAGTAATTTCCCGCATGGATTATTGTAACCCTCTCCTAATTGGTCTTCCCAAAAACTATATTGCCCCGCTACAGTCTGTAATGAATGCTGCCGCCAGACTGATTTTCCTCTCTAGTCGGTCCTCTCACACCTCCCCCCTTTGTCAGTCCTTACATTGGCTTCCTGTATCCTATAGGAGTCAATTCAAAGTGCTAACCCATACCTATAAAGCATTGACCAATTTTAGCCACTCCTATGTTTCTTCACTGATCTGCAGGTGTGCCCCTTCTCGGTCTCTCCCCTCTGCCCGTACCCATACAGCCAACTCACGCTTGGAGGGCCTCTCGCGGTCGGCTCCCTTCCTGTGGAATAGCCTGCCTACCACCAGACTCTCCCTTAGTCTTCAATCGTTTAGGAAGTACCTTAAAACCCATCTCTTAAGGAAAGCTTATGGCTTCCCAGAGTAACCTCTATCTCACATACCTGTCCCTTGCTCTCTCCTAAAGGGCAGCACTCTACTCTCTCCTCCAGCTCTGCATCACTCCAAGCTTATTTGATTGCTATTCTCCTGTCCTATTGTGTTTTATACCCCACCTCCTACAGACTGTAAGATCGTTTGAGCAGGGTCCTCTTCAACCTATCGCATCTCTAAGTTTTCTTGTAATTGTCCTATTTATAGTTAAATCCCCTCTCTCATAATTTTGTAAAGCGCTATATAAATGGTAATAATAATTGTGGGAATCAAGGGCTACCTTAGCTTTGGGCTAAAGAGTTTCTGGAACCTAGCAACCCCCGCCAAGTAGTCATGTGCTACATTCTGACAGCTGGCCAGCTCCTGCATGACTTACCAGAGTCCAACTCCCATGGCTTCTTCCATTTGTCTTCAGCAACTTAGAAATATTAATCACCTGACCCTATATCTCCTGATCTACTATTCACCAAAGGTATATTTCTGGAGTAACTAACATTTATTGAAGTATGCAAAAGCAAATGTGCAGTTAAATAACTTATCACCAACCGAACAAATGGAGAAACAGGGAGTGCAACTACAGGTCATAAAAGGTGTAATAATCTATTTCCAGTGTAAATGGGAACTCAGGTGCAGATAGTAACTTAGTAGTGTATACCACTTTAAGAGAATAAATCAAATGTGTAGTTGCAACAGTAAGTTGTAATGGGAGTTGTGGTATTTACAGTCCAGTTAAACAAGCAGAGAGATTGCAGGAAACCTTTAAATGCATTTAAACTGGATAAACAGCAGGCAGAGTGAAATGTATATGAGAGGAATAGCAACTTCCTCGAATCAGCAAACAAAGGGTTAGTCAGTGCACAGTCTGATTTTCAAAGGGCTGGGAAGGCCAGCAGAATAGGTACAGCAAGCGGGGTATGGTTAACAGTATAACAGCAGAGGGAGCTCAGATGGCAACTCTGTATCGCAAGGCAGCAAAATAACTGAACAATACAAAGTTACCGCAGCTTGCCTATAACGTGGCTGAGCGTAACGTGAAAGCGTAGGGGCCATTTACGATGATGTGCGAAGTCAGAAGTGGCATTGCGGGAATCACGGTTTAGGTATAGTTCTGACAAAAGCTTTGACCCTTTTTCCACTCGCTGTTACTCATCCACATAAAAAAAAAAAAAGGTCAGGTTAATAGTGCAAATACCTATTTCCACATAAAATAATAACTACATTCTTCCTTACCTTACCCCAGTGTAGTTTTAAATAATACCTGGTGTAGTGAACTCCCACTTCTATGAATCACCACCAGATATTCAATGCAAATTAATCTTCAAAGAAACAATAACAAGAGGTGTGGACAAAGATTCTGTTCACTGCCCATTCCTTCAAAGCATGTTTATTAAGCGATAACCTTCTAATGGAAATTACATTGAACATCTAAAAAGCTCCCTCCCAAGGCACAGATGGTGGAAATCAAGCGTTTCGTGCTTTACACCACTTTATCAAGTTCCCCAAAATCAATAAAAATCCCCTTTCCACATATAGCGTGGTAAATGATATTTCATTTTTGTATTTACAATATCAGTTTATCCATCTCATCTGTTCCAACCATTATGTGGGTATACATCGCAACATTTAGATGATTTTTCCATTTTCACTTACAGGGTGTGTTTAGTGAAATTGGATCTGAGGATCTTTAAGTGGTTAATAACACGTAACCTACCTGGTGCTAGGTTGTCTTTTATATCCCACGATATAAGAGGGATTTTCATTGTTTTTGGTGAATTTGATTGTGTTGTAAAACACAAAACGCATAGATTAGCAAGATCTGTGCTGCCTGGGGGAGTCTTTCACTGTATGTCCAATGTCATATCCATTGGACATACAGTGAACAGTGAATGGGCAGTGAACAGAATGTTTGTTTGTGCACACCTCTTGCTATTGTTTCTCTGTCCCTCATCACCTGATAGTCTGGCAAGATAACATTTAAGAATATGTTCAGAGCAGGATTTACATCTCAGATACCAGTAGCTACAAAATTATCAGGGGCCTCTACATACATTCGAAAAATCCTGTTTTCTCTTGGTGTTCTATGATTAAGAGAACATATGTGAATTAAAAAAATATATACAAATATCTCCAAGCAAAACAAAGTATATCAAATATATCTAAAATTTAAAATGTGCTATTTTGTAGTTGGAGTAGTTGCCTCTAAAATACATGTAGGCAGCTGCCTATTGGTAAATCAAGCTCTAGATCGGTTTTCCAATTAGAAACAACAAGAATTGTTATTACCAGGGTAATATCTCATGTCCCATCTCTTTATGAAACTGATGAGTCAAGTAATGGAGAAAAAAACATCTATCTTAGCAAAGGAAATGATCTTTAGCTGTATTTATGTATACATGTTGCAATCAATGGGAATTTCAACATCTAAACTAAAATAGCCAAGCTGTGGCCTGTACATATAACCAATGAAAGCTTTTATGCTGTCAGCACTTTTTTTTGCCTCAGTTATACATTTGTTTCTTCATGGGTCACTCAACTGCATTTTTTTTTCTACACTTATCTCTGTGAGTAGTATTTATACATAAGTCATTACCGTAGGTTAATATCTAATATGTGAGGTTTAGGTGCCAAACAAGACAGCATGCACTGTTTACTTTTCCATGGAAATGTCTTAATCCATACAATAATTACAAAGAAATGCAGCTAGAGATCTATTACTTGCCGCAATGCAGTAAGATAATGGCATTGTAGTTTTAGCTAGCAGATTGAGATTACCCAGAGCATAAATATAACATGTATACCAGAGCAAAAAACTAAACAATAGGTTACAAGATACCGAATACCTCATTAATGAAAATTAAAAAGGAAGGATTACAAATGGATTGTGTTTTATACTTCCGGTTCGTTTGAAAAGACCTAAAAGCCGTGGTTAAAGGACCACTCTAGGCACCCAGACCACTTCAGCTTAATGAAGTGGTCTGGGTGCCAGGTCCAGCTAGGCTTAACCCATTTTTAAATAAACATAGCAGTTTCAGAGAAACTGCTATGTTTATTAATGGGTTAAGCCTTCCCCCTAATCCTCTAGTGGCTGTCTCATTGACAGCCACTAGAGGCGCTTGCGTGCTTCTCACTGTGATAATGCCCGAGTCATGATGATGATATTTCAACATCAACTTTTATCTTGTGGAACTCAGAAAGTGACTTTGTTTCCTTCTTATTTCTCATTTAGACATGACATACGTTAAACAGCATTTATGATTAAAAACTATGGCATATCACTGGACAATTTCATTCTACTTCCCTGATTGTTAAACCCATCAAAGATCGTATGAGGCATTTTATAATATAAAAGGATTTGTCTAAGGTGGAAAATGTTCTAATATTTACAACCCATTATCTCTGAATCTTTTCTCTTTTTGCAGTAAACACTGTCTTTTCAGAGAAAATTCAGTGTTTACATTACAGCCTAGTGATAACTCTACTGGCCACTCCTCAAATGGCTGCTAGAGGTGCTTCCTGAGGTAGTGCTGCACACTGTTTCTCCACCTTGTGTATGGAGACACAGAACTTTCCTCATAGAGATGCATTGACTCAATGCATCTCTATGAGGAGATGCTGATTGTCCAGGGCTGTGTTTGAGTTGTGCTGGCTCTGCCCCTGATCTGCCTCATTGACCGTCTCAGTAAATCAGATAACCACTTCTGATTATGTCAGCCAAGCAGGCAGATCAGGGGCAGAGGCAAATGCAATGGCTGCAAACTTGAATACAAGTACAATTTTGCTATATTTAGGAAGGCAAGGATGTGGGCAGGGGGTTAGATGGTGGTTTTAACACTATATAGTCAGGAATACATGTTTGAGAAACTGCAATAATTACCCTGCAAGGTTAACTCCATGTCTAGTGGCTGTCTACCAGACAGCAACTAGAGGCGCTTCCTGGTCATAAGGAGACTTTTTGATGCATAACTGACGCTCAGGGCCAGCGTGTCCTATAGGCGACTTCGGCAGTCGCCTAGGGCGCATCGGCCCTGGGGGTGCAAGTTTTGAGTGACCCGGCAGGAGGAAAGCGCACGGAGCTCCCTCCTGCCAGTCACTCCGTGTAGCGTGGCCAGGTGGTGCAGACCGTGGTACAGGAGCATCCTGTACCCGGCAGGACTGAAAGGAAGTGCTCACTGAGAGTCTGTCAGTCCGGCCGGGTACAGGAAACACAAGCTCCTGTACTGTGGTCTGCGTCGCCTGGCCAAGCTGCAAAGACGTAGGAGGCACAACAGGGAAGGGAGAGGAGACGGCACTAAGGGGAACTGGGGGGCGGATAGGGGAGAGACAGATGGGAGGATTTCGAGGAGAGACCACTAAGAGAAATATGGAGGGGAGGGAGATCACTAAAGGAAAAATTGGGGGGATGAGAGACCACTAAGGGAAAGATGGGGTTGGGAGGGAGGAGAAACCACTAAGGGAAAGATGGGGGAGGGTGAGGAGAGACCACTAAGGGAAAGATGAGGGAGGGGGGAGAACTCTAAAGGACAGGGGGCAGGGAGAGAACTATGGGAATGGGGGGCAGAAGGGGAGAGCACAAAGGGTCAGGGGAGCATTAAGGGGCAGGGGGGCAGGGGGCAGGGGGAGAGCATTAAGGTATAGGGGGCAGGGGACAGCACTAAGGGACGGGAGCAGGGGAAAGCACTAAGGGACAGGGGAGTAGGGGAGCACTAAGCAACGGGGGGCATGGGAGATCACTAAGGGACAGGTGGGGAGGGGAGATCACTAAGGGATGGGAGAGCACTAAGGGAATTGGACAAGACTAAGGGGCAGGAGGGGAGGGGACAAGACCTAGGAACAGGAGGAGAGACCTCTAAGGGACAGGGGGAGAAGTGGATATGAGACCACTAAGGGAAGTGGAAGAGCGCATTAAGGGATGGGGTAGTGAAAGACACACAGAGGGGCTGAAGAAGGGGTGAAAGAGAAGCACATAAGGGCTGGTAGGGGAGACAGAGACACACAGAGGGGCTCAGGAGAGATACACACAGTCGCTTTTGAGGGAGACACACAGAGGGACGGGGGGGGGGGAAAGACACACACCAATGAGCTGGGAAGAGTAAGACATAAAGGGACTTGGGGGGAGTAAGATACGCACGGGGGTTGGGAGGATTTAGGAGACATACAAAGAGGGTCAGATAAGAGACACCCAAGGGGCTTGTAAAAGATACACCAAAGGAGGGTGTAAGACACACAACGTAAAGAGAAAATATACAAAAAAAGTATATTAACAAAATAAATATAATAATAAAAATAAAGAGCTGCTCCCCTCTCAGCCTCTCACAAACCCTCTTTTTCACACTATACACATACACAATGCATCCTTACACATACACAGAAACACACAATGCATACCTACACACACATGCACAGAAACATACAATGCATCCCTACTCACATACAGACACACCGAAACATACGATGCATCCTACACTCACACAGAAACACACCATGCTTCCCTTACACACACAGAAACACACAATGGATCCATTACACACACACAATTCAGCCCTTGCACACATACACAGAAGCACACAATGTATCCCTTACATAAACCCTATACACTACATTCCATAAAAACACACACACACACATTACATCCTCTACAATAACACATAACACATCCCCTACACACATACACTCCACTCCCTGTGAGCAAACTCATGGTTGGGCCTTGTAGGCATAAGGCTTTAGGGCAGGCCTTGTGGGCATACTCACGATCAAGTCCTGGGGGCCCAGACCGTGATCTGTGTAAGGGGCCCCCAAAAATTGAGCTGCTTCCTATTTGTCGATTTTTGTGAGCAATGCCTCTAGAGAACCTGTTTTAACACCAGACTAGTGGAGCCAGACTGCAGCCTGAGCCTATCATCATCCTGTTGTCCTCATCTGGTGGTAAGTAGGCAATCCAGTATATAATTAGTGGCACTAATCCCTAATTTACCTCACATTAAAGGGACACTATAGTCACCAGAACCCTCTACAGCTTAATGTAGTGGTTCTGGTGTCTATAACTTGTCCCTGTAGGTTTATTATTATAATATTAGGGGGAACCTATTATCCTCTCCCCAGCCCCCACCCAGAGCCTCTAATTATATTATGGGGGAGGATCAAGTTCCTCCCATCGACCCCCAACTAAGGGCAGTGAATGGAGGTCCTAATTATAGTATTAAGGGTATTGAGGACCTAGTGTCCTCCCCCCTTGCATCTGCCCCAGATTTTAAGCATTCAGTTCAGATTACAGCTGTTCGTCAGTGTTTGATCCCCCTGAAATCCAAACCAAATTCATGCCCATTAAGGCCCTGAGTTGCAATATCTTGACATTGTTGGCAACAGCATGAACTGGATTTTGCAGTCCGAAATACCCCATATGCAGCCGGTTGGTGTGCCACGTTTAATATTGGACAATTCAGACGTTTGTGAATAGCCCCATCATTTATTCCCATTGTTTTGTTTTTTTTAAAAAGACTTTACTCCCATTTTTTCAAAAAAGCTTTTTTCCCATTTTTTTAAAGAAACTTAAATCCTATTCCTTTTTAAAAAATTTTTTTTTTTTATTCTGCATTACAAATTTTTATTTTATAAGCAAAATAAAATCAGTTCTACAATTACCTAGCTTAAAACATAAACATTCAGTGCTATCCCAGCTGCTCCATTACAGTACATATGAACTATAGACACGTATTAAAAATGATGTAAGTACATAATAGTAGATGCATGGAGAGAATCATCATGTCAGATTAATCACACTTTGGTTTGTTTACTGATGACTATGTTATAGGACATGAGTTAACTTAGAAATCAAAATAGAGAGGTACTTGCCTACTAGTATGATTTTAACTAAAACATAACATTTAATATATTGATTAAAATGATGTGTCAACTAGAAAATATTAATTGATAATAAGACTATCAATAATATAAAACAAAAAATATAAAGAAAAAACTAATACCAAATTTATCCAAAACCATATAGGATGATTTTTAAATGAGAAAATATATGTAGGATTAGTTGGTAATCAATTTGTGTATAGCTGAATTTGAAGGCTGAGCTCAAATATAAAAAGCTTGTAGTGTTTGTTAAAGGACCACTATAGGCACCCAGACCATTCAGCTTAGTGAAGTGGCCCAGGTGCCAGGTCCATCTAGGTTTAACCCTGTCTGCTGTAAACATAGCCGTTTCAGAGAAACTGCTATGTTTACAAATGGGTTAATCCAGCCTCTAGTGGCTGTCTCATTGACAGCTGCTAGAGGCGCTTCCGAGAAGACGCCAACGTCCATAGGAAAGCATTGAGAATGACGACCGAAGGAGGAGCGTCTTCCTCCAACTTCAGCCCGGCGGGAGGGGGACCCTGAGGGTGGGGCACCCTGCGAGCACTATAGTGCCAGGGAAACGAGTTTGTTTTCCTGGCACTACAGTGGTCCTTTAAGAGCTGTCAGTAAAACTAAAGCTGGCAATCCCAGGAGATACAAGATATCGAGTAGAGTAAATATGGCATTGTTATCAATGTGTAGTATACAATAGTTGCACTTTTTCTTGAGGGAACTATTAATTTCATTGGGCTAAGGTTATAGACTTTAAAGGAAGGAACTCAGCCTAGGTTAACACTAATACCAGGTAAGAAGTAAAGTAACTAAGTAGATTACTAATATCCTAGAGTAGTGCTTTTGACTGTCATGCTATAGACTACTAAACTGTGCCTTCAAGGGCACCTATTCTGTGTAAGATCGCTATCTGCTAGTCTAAGATAAGCACCATTTAGGAAAGGATAAGTCTTGAACATGCCCTTCCTTTATAACTCTGAAAAAACATCATATCCAAAGTCTAATTGAAAACAAAAAATCTTAAGGTAGGAATTCGTAGATAGTGCAGAGCCCCGACGCGCGTTTCGCCGGTAAGGCGTCTCTTCAAGGGGGATAAGGCGATTGTGACAGGTTAAGTATATATAGGGAAATTCTAACCGAAATGTGTCCATTTGATCCAATGAGGTAAGTCAAATTTTATCAGCAGTTGGTTTGTCCAATGTGAGACCACATGGGAAAGGAGAGAGGGGATAGGGTAATTTCAATATTTGATTAGTGTGACCATCCAATAGGAATGCATCATCTCAAGGTGCTTGTGAAGCTGTATCTAATAGAAATTATAGTCCAGATTTTAACCATGATTTTTATTTATAGTTTATTGAGAATTTGATCAAACTGTGACTGTATTATTAGATGTTCGTTATCATATCATTGAGATGGTTGTAATTATTTTTACTGTTGAAGTGAAAATTTAAAAAGTAGACTACAAAAGAAGGAGAAAAAAAATAGTTGTGATGTGTATTATAATAATTAGACTGTAATTAGTACTGTCATAGACTTACACTGATTAACAGTGCCTTGACTGAGCATAAGATTCATTACGTCTTACTATGCTATTCATAAATTATGAATCCCAATTGCATATTGTTTCTCCATTTATGCCGTGTTTTTAATGGACATCGAATTCATGATTGCGGTAGTGTAAGTCTTCATAATGGTATACAGCAATCGTGTCTCAATAGTTGTACATAGCAAACATATTGTCCATAATCATTCACAATAATCATATCTTTTATGATGATGCACTGTAATCCTATCACTGTAATATAATTATTAAAAGTAGATTAAAAGAGGAAAAGAAAAAGAAAGATAATTACTGTGATAACTAGTTGTAATTTGGTATAATGAATAAGATTGTAGTTAATACTGACATATGGTTGTACTGCTTAGTCCTACTTTGGATAGGCATAAAATTCATTATGTATTGTAGTGTTTTTCTTGTGATCGCAGTAATTGGTAGATCTTAGTTGCATGTGTTTCTCTGTGTTATTAGTGTCTTAAATGGACAAAATAATAGAATTATTTTTTTAAGCTGCATGGTTATCAAGCTAACGGTAGTCCAAATCTCCATAATGGTACAAAGCAATCATATGCTTGTACATAGCAATCATATGTCCATAATACTGCACGGCAGTCATATCGTTTTGATGATACGCTGTAATACTGTTACTGTGGTGGTATACTGTAGTGTTATCTACTCATCAACAGTAATACTTTTACTCAATATATAAAATGTTATGTTTTAGTCAAAATCATTCTAGTATTCTGTTACCTTTTACTAAGGGATACCCCCTTTCTCTTGCCTCTCCCCATTAAAATATGCCTTTTGGACTATTGTTTATATAATTTCCATACATTTTGCCTGAAAATCATTTGTTGATTTTACCTAGATTTGTGAACTGCTTCCTTTAGTTCTATGTGATAAACCATCAGATAATGTCCCTATAATAAGTATGTTTTATAGTAACTTTATCTGCTCTTTTACAGACGCCGATCCAAATGGAGATAATAATCCAACAAATGCATTCCCCAAGTCATATCCTGCTACTACCACACAAAATCCAAAGTCCTATAACGCTAGGGATCCACAGGATAGGCCTGGATCTCAGCCGCCTAAAGGTACACATAAATGAATGTCTGTCAGTATAGTGGAAATTAGGAATGTGCTCAACAGAGAATGTTCTGCTCGTGAACAGTTATGCAATAAAGAATCATGCACAGCATGAAGTGTACCATTTATATAGCTCCAAATGTTTCAAATGGACAAAGAGGAACACTTCAGTTTTATGGATGTGAGTAGGGGGTGTGCAGGGGTGGGAGTGTTCTTAAAAAATTTAGGTTGACTTACTAATAACAATTTATGCAACTAAGATATAATTTACAAGAACAATGTATTTTTTTTTTTACACAGACTGATTTCTAAACACATTTATTGTAGTTTAAATACACATTACTGTGAGTATTATTGCTGTGGAGCTCCAAGAAAAGATGGACATTGGGATAGGAAAGAAGGACAGAGGGACATAGGGCATGTGTTGTGTTTTTGTAGATATAGCTGAATTGTGTAATGGTGCATAGAGGGCTATATGCAGTGTGTCCCTCCTTACCCCACCATTCCACATTGCTGCACTGGTCCTCCATTGGCTTGCTGGAAAGATCATTTACTCTTCCCTTTCAGCCCCAGCTGATGACCATCACATCCTACCAGACATTTGCCCAGTCTGCCTAATGGCCTACTGGGTCTGCATACATACACACAAGCATATACTCCTAATACTAAGATTTTTTTCCTTTTCTTTTTTTCTTTTTCAGGTTCTAACATTGTCATTCCAGTGGGTATATCAGTTGGCATAGTAATTGTAGTTGGCTTGGTAATTTCTGGTGTTATAATCTGGAAGAAAAAATGTTGTAAAAAGTCTCAGGAGCCATTCTATGAACAGGCAGACAAAACAACCTTAGCAACACAAGAAAGTAAGCTTGTAGTACTGTGTATCCTCTTAATACAATAAGTATTTTAATACGCTATTTGTCAATAATATATTCATCTAAGGCAAGAAAAAAATCTTCAAATTACTTGCAAATTTAAACCACTGATACTTAGTAAATAAATTGAATAAATGAATGAATGTAACGTATCAGACAAAATGCTATGTTTTCAGCTGCAGGGTTAAAACTAGAGGGACCTGGCACCCAGTGCACTTCATTGAGCCGAAGTGGTCTGGGTGCCTATTATGGTCCTTTAAGGACTAAGTAAATGTTAAACATAAATGTAAAGTAAATAGTCAAACCGTTTAAGAACCGTTTGACAACTAACCTGAGGTCTGCTGGGATATGAGGCTGTAGTAGGGCATAGGAGTAGTGGTGTGTGTGAGTGGTGCAGTGTGTGTGTGAAAGGTTCATTGTGTGGGGGGGGGGGTGTAGTCAGGGCCGTCTTTAACATTGATTGGACACTGGGCAGGCATTTGTTTGGGCCCCCTGGATCCTGCCATCCCTCTTAGTGCAAGAGCAGAGAAAAGATAGATCCTCATCTGTTGTACAATTCCAACGATGCTATGCCAGCTGGGGATCTACCATTTGTCCATTTTTGCAGGGCTGTATTTGTGAGCAGTGTTTGTGCATTTGAATGTGAGCATGTTGTTGTATACAGTATATGTGTGCATGTAGGGTGTAGTATTGGTGTTTAAGTGTAGGGATGTGTTTCCATATACTTTTTGAGTTTGAATTCAGGGGTGTGTTTGTATGTAATGTTTGCAGGGGTGTGGTTGCATGTTGTGTTTGATTGCCGTGATGTATGAATGTCAACATTCACAGATATACATACACATTAGCACACTGATACATGCACACATCTGGACACACTGACAAAGACTGGCGTATACACACACAGCCACATACATAAATACACGTGCACACACAGAGATAAAAACACTGGCACATCCACACACAGAGATACACACTTACACACACTGACACAGATATATACACAAATACATATGTATTTGTGTGCAGTGTTGGCGTAGGAATGCTGGGATGTATGCATTGTCACACAGATGCACTCTCACACAAACAGTGATACACACAGGAACACAGATACACATGCAGTGGTGTATTTGTGTGCATTATTAATGTTGGAATGCAGGGTTGTATTTGTGTGCAATGTTAGATGGGATGTATGCATTGCCACACCCACAGATACACACTTACACATACTGACACTCATACACACACAGGTACATATACACAGACAAGCAGGTACACATACAAACTGACACATAGGTATACATACACACAGATACACATAAACACTGACACAAAGGTACATGTACACTGACACAAACACAGCCATATAAACACACACTGACACAAACAGCCAGATACACACTGACACACACAGCCAGATACACACTTACACACACACAGTCAGATACAGACACACACACACAGTCAGACAGAAACACAGCCAGATACAATCACAGCCAGCCAGATACACACACACACACAGTGAGATATACACACACACACACACACACAGTCAGATACACACACACACAGTCAGATACACACACATACAGCCAGATACACACACAGTCAGATACACACACAGTCAGATACACACACACACACAGTCAGATACACACACATACATACAGCCAGATACACACACATACAACCAGATACACATACACACATACAACCAGATACACATACACACATACAGCCAGATACACACACAGCCAGCCAGATACACATACACACATACAGCCAGATACACACACAGTCAGATACACACACATACATACAGCCAGATACACACATACAACCAGATACACATACACACATACAGCCAGATACACACACATACAGCCAGATACACACACATACAGCCAGATACACACACAGTCAGATACACACACAGCCAGATACACACACAGCCAGATACACACACAGTCAGATACACACACAGTCAGATACACACACAGTCAGATACACACACAGTCAGATACACACATACAGCCAGATACACACATACAGCCAGATACACACATACAGCCAGATACACATACACACATAGAGCCAGATATACACACACACTGACACAAACACACACACACAGAGTCATATGAATTCACATAGTTTAGCCACCCTCCTTACCTTTACAGAAGTGTGGCTTCCCTGTGGTCCAGTGGGAGCTGGATGGCTGAGATTGATGGGAGTCTTCTTCTTGGTCTGTACCTCCTCCTGCTCTCCATGTATGCCTCCTCCTCCCCAGCGGCACTCTGTTAATTGGGAGGAAGTGACCTCACAACACTTCCTCCCAGCAGGCATACAGACAGGGGCCGGTGTGCAGCTCTCTTAAAGGGCCGGGGCCCATGATTACATCACCTGCTGCAGCCCACCGGGATATTTCTCAGTATCCCAGTGGGCTGTTCAGACCTGGCTGTGGGCAGGGGACCCACAGGGCAGCTGCTTTGGGCCCCCCAGGAGCAACTGGGCCCGGGGCAGCTGCCCTGTTTGCCCCTTGTTAAAGACGGCCCTGCACACACCATACACATTCACACACTGCCCCCATACACACCATACACATTTACACACATTGCCTCACACACACACACACATACACTGCCCACCCATATACACACAGACCCCCATACACAGCCCCCCATACTAACATTGCCACACACATACACTGCCCACACACTCTACACATTCACACACTACACCCCCACACACACACTGAACCTTTCACACACATTGCACCACTGCTCCTATTCCCTACTACAGCCTCATATCCCAGCAGACCCCAGGTAAGTTGTCAAACTGTTCTTAAACGGTTTGACTACTTACTCTGGAGCAGTAGTGGTTATTGTGCATGGATTATTTCTTTAAATAATCTACAAGTGCCCCAGTAGCCAGCCAGCCAACCCACAGGCTGGCCAGTAGCCAGCCCACAGGCCAGTAGCCAGCCCACAGGCCAGTAGCCAGCCCACAGGCCAGTAGCCAGCCCACAGGCCAGTAGCCAGCCCACAGGCCTACAGCAAGCCACAGGCTTACAGCCAGCAAGCCATAGCCTGCCAGCCGCAGTCAGCAAGCCCACAGCCTGCCGGCAGTAGCCAGCAAGCCCACAGCCTGCCGGCAGTAGCCAGCAAGCCCACAGACTGCCAGCCAGCAACAGTAATTAAGGTAAGAGGAGCCAACTTGGCTTAGGTATCAGCGAGCTATGTTGTGTTGCTATATTGTGAATAGGAACCAGAGTGTTGGAGAGACCACCCTCCAGGCCCCATTAGACTCTAGCCTCTGCTAGAAATCCCCTCCATGGCCCATTAGCCTCAATTGTAGTTTCTACTGGGGCCTGGAGGCGACTGTTTCCAGCAGGGGATATCTAATGGACGCTGAGATGGCCTCTGTTAGAAAGACCCCCTTCCAAGCCTTTTAGACTCCATTGTAGTCTCTAATGGGGCTTGGAGGGGATTCTTTCTAACACACTCTCTAAAGGACACTGAGATAGCCTCCGCTAGAAAGACCCCCCTCCATGGCCCATTAGCCCTCAATTGTAGTCTCTACTGGGGCCTCGAAGGGCTTATTGCCCTTTTGTTCCTTGTGTCTAAAGATTGTGTACGGTGTGGCTGGAGGCGGGACAAGGGTGGCGCTTGCTGCAGAGTATGGGTGGGGCCTGTAAGGGGGCCCTTGATTTATTTTGCCCGGGGGCCCTGAGGGTTCTCAGTCCGCCCCTGGCATTGTTGTGTCTCGTTGGAGGATTAGGTTAAAGAGCTCTTGCAGTGTGGAGTGGAGGTCTTCCCCCTCAGCCTCAGGTAGAGCTTTAACCCTTAGGTTGTTACGGCGCCCTCTATTGTCCAGGTCGTCTAGTGCTCTGTACATAGCAGCCATTTGTGTGTTATGAGCTGTCACTGTACTTTGCAGGGCTTGTAGTTGTGTGCATGTGCAGTCATGTTCGTTTTCTAGGGAGTTAACCCTGTCACTGACCTGTTTTACTTCTGTGGAGATGTCATCCATCTTCTTTTGAAAGGACACTTCAAGTTTCTGTAGCATAGCAGCCAGGTCCTGCTTGGAGGGGAGATTCCTGAGTAGGGCTTTCAGATCTTTGTCCCGATCAATGTCCGACGTGAGAGAGATGCTGTCTGATGCCGCCGGGCTGGAGGGCCCTGAGGAGTGCTCCGCCGGGTCGTCCGGCGCCATATTGGAGCCTGTGGCCTCATTTCGCCGGTCGCCCTGATCCTTGAAAAATTTGGTAAGGTTGCTGGTTTTCGCCGCGGAGTGTTTGCCCGCCGTGTTAGGAGCAGTGGAGAGGCGTTTGGGGTGTCCCATGTTGTGGTAGGTGCCCGATGGATGCGGATTGCCCTGAGTCTCTTTCGGAGCTCTGCTAGCAAGCGTCCATTCGCGCTCGCGGTTAGCTCCGCCCCTCTAGAGAATGTTTTTTATCCTGATTTATTCATTACTTGGCCTTGTCAATGGACATACTAGACAGTAAGAGCATCTTTTGAATCCTCGTGATTCCAAATGCAAGAGGTTATATTTTAAACAAATGTGAGCACTGACAGGATTATTTGCTAAAGACTGAATGCCCCTGGGTCCGGATTTGAAAAACTTTTCACGATCTGTCTCGGGGCAATCAGACTGCAAAATCCGAACTTTGTTCACACTATTTAACAATGTCCAGATTTTGTAGCACTGGCTCCAAATGAGCCAGAATATTGCTCAGATTTCAAATTGTGCTGACCTGAAGGACACTTTACTGGTTCATCGGTCAGAATCACACTTAGTACATGTGAAGCATACTTTTTTATATGCACATATTTAAATATCACCAAAATACGGTCATAATTCTATGTTGTCTCTCCTCAGTCTGCTGCAGTACCACACGGTGCCACCACCTTTCTGTGGTGCTGTTGTAGATTGCTGCACCCAAGCTGAAGAGGTCAGACTCTCTTCCCAGCTGGCTTTGCCTACTTAAAGGATCTGCTGCTAATGTCTCGTTGCCAGATACCACAGGACACGCTCAGAGGTCTTGATGCATCAGAGCTGTTTTGGCAGCATGAAGGGAATCCTACTTGATATTAGACATGGGGTTTCAATGTTGTGGCTGATCAGTGTATATATGTATATATAAATATAAAAATTTTTTTTATCTTGCGTTGTGTTGTTGAAGGATCTTTTATTTTAAAGATGAGCATTTTCAAGGGATAAGGATGAGAATATCTTGAAGTTCAATTTGAACGCAATTTGGCACTCGATAAACATCTGCATTCCTACACATTTCATGGGATTTAGATTTATTTTTAGCTGCACAGAATTGAGAGAATGTGCAAACTTCGCATTGTCTCCACATTTGCATCTGGATTGCATTTAATGAGCACCTGAATTTGATTTTCTTTACCAAATCAGGTATTATATCCAACGTGTACATTCAGTCCCCCATGTGCGAACTTTCAACTGTTTTGCTCTTCTCCTCTTTGTTAACGTATAATACTGTTGGTACTGCAATCTGATTATCAAAAAAAAATAAAAATCTGTTTAGCTCTTAAAGGGATTCTATAGTGCAAGGAATACAAAGTTGTATTTCTTATACTATTGTTTCATTTGGCCCTCACCCGGGGCTGCAAGCGTTAAAAATCCCTTTTTGCATTAGGCCCTCTCCAGAGTAAAGTATTTCTTCTATGCTTTGATATGGGGATTTAACTGATACTGGATGTCCTCATGCAGTGTGTTAAGATGTCCAACGTCAGTTAGGCAACCAACAAGTGCCCAGCCACCAGGAAGTGAATCTAGTGACTGTCTGATTGACAGCCACTACAGGCAGTCTTAGTCCTGCAATGTAATCATTGTAGATACTCAAAAACTGCAGTGATTTACATTGCAGGACTAAGTGGGACAAGGTCACTGCACCCAGACCACTTCAATGAGCTGAAGTGGTCTGGGCGCCTACAGTGTCTATTTATTTACTAATATGGATACCGCCCTCTACTGGATCCCAGGGTGCAACCTGGCCTGAGGTTGGCCAATCCTCACAATGTGATTTGCAAAAAGCAATGATGGTCCAGGCACTCAAGTTCAATCCAGTGGGCAGATTTATTGGAGCAAAATCTAGCTTGCCAAAGGCCCTGTTGTTGTCTGAAATGTTGTTTCGATTTTGCTCCAATAAATCTG